TAAGGGTAAGTGTTACTTTGTGACAGTTGTTGCAGTTACCCACAAAGTGTCTAAATCTTAAATGATTTATTACTGTTAGTCATGGTCTAAAACATGTGAAAGCCACTGTCCCATAGTACCTATCGTATATTAATGCTTAATACTCTATGAATTGTTGCTGAATGAACAAATTGATAAGTATGAAACAATCCATTTATCCCAACTTCAAAGGTTCCAATTTGAAAAAATATAAAGTATAACGCCTATCTGAACAAAAGTAAATGGATTCTGGCTTATGTGAAGCTATGGGGGGTGTGGTGAGAGAAATCTGAGTATTTCTATTGTATTTCCATAGACTTTCTCCCCAATAACTAAAATGTTTTATATATAAGGAAGATTAAAGACAATTTTGCCTAAGTTCATTTGGAAAACTTTTCCCATTCACTGAAACTACCTACTGATTACAAAAGTTCTGCATCTTTAAAATGCCTAGTATAGGTAATTCTACCATGATTCATAAAAGATCTTTCAGAGACACCATGAAAGCCTTTGTTCAAGTTCTTTCTTTGCTCAAGATGCCTCTATGTCCTCTCAATACCCCGACCCCCACCATCTGTAAAAATCCCATTCATCTTCCAAGGCTTAGTTCAAAGGCCACCTTTTCCATGGAAGCGTTTTTTGTTTGTTTGTTTGTTTGTTTTTTACTCAATTTTTCCTCTTTCCCTCCTCTACCACCCACCCCAGTCCCAAATATGGTCTTCTCTCTTCTGAATCTCCAGTGTTGAAAACTTCCTTTTTTATTTGTATACTCATCTCATTCCCCACTAGATAATCACATGCACAACCCACAGTTCACTCATCTTTGTACTCCTTATAGCAATCAGCACCAGGTCTTACACTTAAGAAATATCAATTAATATTTAAGTGAACAAATGAAAGTAATGGTTAGCCTGTTAAAAGGGATGGTCATTATTTTAAAGGCCCTGAGGAATGGTTTCTATGTCCAGCAGCTGATCAAAAGCTGGTGGAGAAAAGGAAGGAGCAGATGGCAAGAGAGTGGGAGGTTGACGAGGGGTGCTGTTCCTCAGGATATCTGCCCCTGCAAACTTACTGAATCCCCACCTCTTCTGGGATCCAACTCTACCCAATGAAGCTATGGAGCCGGGTGCAGGATAAGTGCCCTCACCTTGTTCCAAGAGTTCTACTCTTGCTTTAAACCAGAAATGGGAAGTGAAATTAGAAGTAGGAATTAGGGCTACTCTTTTCAACTTTAAGGCTGAAAGGAAAAGCTGAAACAACTATCTGGACCATTTAGATTCAGAAGGCCTCCTTTGAAAAATAAGTATGGGTGTTTGGGCAGAGTGGGGGTGGGGCGGGTGCAAGGAAGTGGGGGAGATGGTTCTTGAATTACTTGATTTTTTCAACAATACCAAGCTTTTCTCTTCATTTCTATACAGTCATTTGGGGACACTTTCTGTGACCATTAGACTAAGCTAGCTCTAGTTCAAAGCCACAGTCACAACTAATAAACCGCAATTTGTTTTTTTAGAAAACAGTGCCTACCAACTGGAAAGAACTATTAGGGCTTAAAATACCATTCTCCTTTACCATTAACCTGTACCTTTCCCCACCCTCTCCAAAGAAACATTTTTTCCTAAGATGAATTAAAACAATAAGTTTTTAGTGGTGTTTATTTTAAATTTATAGATATTTTATAGTTAACTCATGTAGGGCAGGCATGGTTTGCTAAATCATGGTTTTTTTCAGATTTTTAATTTTAGATCAGTATCTTTTAGGGTTCTGACCTCTTTCTTTGGTATTTTAACAGAACCTTAACTTACAGTCCATCAAGGTTTTGTTTTGTAATTAACTTCAGAGATGCCCTCATAAACTGGGAGACATCTGCAGTACTGTCAAAAATGCACTGGATTCAGAGTCAGAAAACTGACTTTTGAGAAGTTAATGGTTGGTTCGAATATGGCTCCTCCATTTCTAGATGTGTGACCTTGGGCAGGTTACCTGATCTTCCCCACCCTCAATTTCCCAGTCTGTAAAATGGGAATAGTAACAGATAATGTTTCCTAAGGCTGTTGTGAGGGCTAAATGAGCTAAAACATATAATGCACTTAGAACTGTGCCTGGTAGGGCGCCTGGGTGGCTTAGTTGGTTAAGCGACTGCCTTCGGCTCAGGTCATGATCCTGGAGTCCCAGGATTGAGTCCCACATCAGGCTCCCTGCTCAGCGGGGGGTCTGCTTCTCCCTCTGACCCTCTTCCCTCTCATGCTATCTCTCATTCTCTCTCTCTCAAATAAATAAATAAAATTAAAAAAAAAAACAAAAACAAAACAAAGAACTGTGCCTGGTAAATGGTAAGCGTTCAGTCAATGTTAGTTTAAAAATTTTGCTCTCAGGGTACCTGGGTGGCTCAGCTGGTTGAGTGTCTGCCTTCGGCTCAGGTCATAATCTCAGGGTCCTGGGATCAAGCCCCACATAGGGCTCCCTGCCCAGTGGGGAGTCTGCTTTTCCCTCTCCCTCTGTCCCTTCCGCCCCCCGCCGTGCATGCGTGCTCTCTCTCTCTAATAAATAAATAAAATCTTTAAAAAAAAATCTACTCTCATTTGTTTTATGGTCTCATAGAGACCTTTTACCATTCAAAGCCTCCATTTCCTTATCTATAAAATGAGACTCCTACTACTTACCACCTCCAGGATTGTTATGAGATTCAAATAAGAAAAAAATGGATAAGAAAACATTTGACACACAGAAAGTACTTAAATGCTAGTTATTTTGGATCACTTGTAAACTTAAAAATAAACCATAACATTGAATTAGAAAATATGCAAAAATTCATCCATAAACTGAGAAAACGTCTATGTTAGAAATGCATACTCAAGAAATATGGTTTATCTTTAACTTATCAGAAATATATAAGCTTTTGTAAAATGTAAATTTTATATCTGCAAACTAGAAACACTCTCTCAGTCAAGCCAAACTGTCCCACTATACTGTAAGCAAGAAGGCCTGCACATTTTCATAAGCCAAAGATAAACTGACGCACTGATTAAATGCTGATTGCATGTACAGCAACTTTTTAAAAATGCTTATTTTCATTTTTAAAAAAGAACAAATGTACTGTTGGTAATGTAAATTTTAAGTCAATGCAACAGACATTTATTGTATAACTGTGCTCCAGGTAACCCGGAGGATTTTGGCAACTAAGGATGCAAAGAGAAATAAAGCTTAGATCCTATGCTGGGAAAGCCCACAGATTAGAGCTGATAATTTCAAAATATTACTTATAAAAGTCATGAGGGGGCTTCAATTTGAATCAGCAAACTGACAAGCACCATAAAAACATGCCAAAGCAGTAAGTTCTTCCCTTTGACTGAAAAACTGTCTTTTAAAAGCAAAAGTCATTTTTAAAGCACGGTTTCTATCTAGAAAACTATTAAATTTGGGCCAGAAACCAACATTTCTAAACGTGAACCTGTAAAATAATAGCTATCTGTAAATGAAAGACTGAAATAACCCCAGGAGCAACAGGACAGTAATTAGCAACTTTTATAGAGTAATAACATCTTTCATATTCTTTCTACACTGGCTCTTTGAAGTTTCCAGTGTAATATATAAAAGTTTTATTACATCAGGGCCCATCTTTGTGTATTTTATAAGCACCAGCATTATGCAGAGCAAGGCGTAGTTACTCATCATCCGATTTTTTTTAAGAAACTGCTCAATAATGCACTAGCTTTGTGTCCAGTTTAGTTTGTTACACCTGGCTTTAGAAAGATAAAAGTCACTAGAAGCCTAAGTCACTGGAAATAATCCACATATCATCTATATAACCTATAAATCTTAAAGCAGTTTAGCTTTAAAATTGTACATTGCATATTCATGTGCACACCACTTGCAGTTTTAGACACATGTGAACTCTTTACTGAATTAAAGCAAAAAAAAAAAAAAATTACCAGAGGCAGAACAGAGTGCAGTTAATATGCTTGTTCCAGCAGATGTTCATTCCCGTAAATATTAAACGTAACACAAGTTCCTCCAGGAATATGCGGGCAGTAATTTAACCACCTGAATAGGGCTGGTTGGAAACATTTAGGAGATGGAGGGGTTGGGGGGGGTGGAATAAGAGGGATGCTGAAGCAGCCAATGGGATTTTTAAGAAACCCGCAGCGAGAATTAAACTGCTTCTAGCGGCGATTTACCTACAGCAGCTCCTCAACGTGAGAACGCGGAGCAACAGATCCCGGAGTGCTCCCCGGGCCACCCGCTCCCCAGGCTACAAGCTGTGAGCGTGGAATAAAGGGACACGCGGGGCGCCGGGGTGGGGAGGAGGAGGAGGAGTACAACTGTGGCGAGGTGTGAAAAAGGGCCCGAAGGAATTGTGAACCTCGAGGAAATGAGTCTCCCTGGGCCAAGGCCTCTGGAATTCCCGCACGGAGAAACACTCGCCCCCTGTCCCCGGTGTTCACTTTCCATCTCGGGTGGGAGCGGGTAGGAGACAGAAAAGATGTAGCCGCCCAGACCCGGCGCCTCCAGGCAGGAGGCTGGAGCATCCTCTAAGGGCACTTCGCAGCAGCACCAACTCCAGAGGGTCGCTGGTGAGAACCAGAGGCTCTTAGGGAAGAGGGAGGGCGCAAATGAAGCGAAGGGAGGTGAGACGGTCTAGGGGCCGAGGGGTGGATCCCCAGGCACTAGTGACACGTTCTAGAAATCGGGTCTTTTTATCTCCATGGCTGCGCTCTGCCCCCCGGCTCCCCAGATCACCAGCCCCTGGGCTGGGGCGGGCAGCCCCGGGCGAGACGACAGGAAAGGGGGGCAAGCAGACGGGAAGGCGGCTGTCCATCCACCCGGGGGAGGCAGGAAGGAGCCGGGGGGACGGGCGCCCCCGACCCACCCCACCCCCACGGCCGCCGGCCGGTTCGAGCCCCCCGCCCAGGTAAGGGCGCGCGGGCCGCCGCGGCCGCCCTTCACCACTCCCGCGTGCCCAGGCGGCCGGCACAGGGACTCACCACAGCGACTCGAGGTCCCATTCCTGGAGCAAGGCTAAGTCGAAGCTGTCCATGGTGGGAGGTGTCAGCGCCGCCGCCGTTGCCGCCGCTGCCGCCGAGGCTCGGGCCGCCCGCGCGCTGCAACGAAAGGCGCCGCTCAAGGTGCATCCCGGCCGAGCCTGAGCGGCCACCGCCCGCCCGCTGCCCGCCCCCGGGTCGGGCTTCCCCGCGCCCCCCGCCCCCGACTCTCGGCCCGCCTGGCGGGCGGCAGCAGCCGGCGCACTCACCCGCTCCTCGGCTCGCGCGCAGGCACACTCAGGACAGAGCGGCGAGCTCGCCGCGCCGCCGCCGCCGCCGCCTCGCCCCCTCCCTCCCGGCGCCCGCCCCTCCTCCCCTCCCTCCCGGCGGCCCGGCCCGCTGCAGCCGCCGCCGCCGCCGCCGCCGCGGTGCTCTGCGCCCGCCCGCCCGCCTCTTTCTCCTCGGGGAGGCGCGTGTGCGCGGGCGAGGCCGAGGCGCGCGCGCGCCGTGAGCCCCGCGCCGCGCCCGCCCCGCGCGCCCCTGCGCTCCCCGCGCCGCTCCCCGGGGTCCCACGGCGCTCGCAGGCCGCACCGCCCCCTCGCCCTGCGACCCCACGACCCCCCTGACCAGCCGCCGCCCGGGGCCGCCCGGGACGCTCCCGGGAGCCGGAGCGAAGGGAAAGGCGCTGGTGCCGAGCGCGGGGGGATGCTGAGCCAGCCGGGCCCGGCCTGCCGCATCTTCTGCCTCTCGCCCTCGCCCGGCCCCACCCGGCCCTGCCGGGGCAGCACGCACTTCTCTTGGGGCCCAGAATTCCCCCCGACCCTGCCAGGCGCCCCCGGGGGCGGTGTGCTTTGCAGCCCTGGAGGGGGTGCTGGGAAATTCCCTGACCGCCCCAGGCACCGGGAGAGTTAACTGAGCTGCCTGCAGCCGCGCTGTAAACAAATCGTTTAAAATATCTGGAGTCAGTAAGTTAAGAGAAAGGGAGGAAACCTCTTCTGACAGGACCTGCAGTTTGGCCTGCAGTGGGGGTCCCACTATCCTTCGGCTGGCGGTCCCTGGAAACTAACCTCCTTTCTTTATATTTCGAATAGGGAGGGGGGACAGGCCTCTGGGTGTAGACTGCTAACTTGTCACCCCATCTCCTATCTGGAGAGTGGCGTACTGTCAGCTGGAGGATGGTAGAGTATCATTGTGCCTCCTAAAAATCAGGTCCTTTTTATTATTATTTCCTTGATTGTAAAGAACATCCCCACCCCCCTCCTTACTTTTACAGACATGCTGAGAAGTCCATGCCTAGATCAGGGCCATGGCTCTGTTTCTCCACTGCTGGCCAAAATCAGAACCCGGCCTCAGTTCCCTCTCTTATCCTCTTGGCCACAGCTCTGGAAGCCTCACTCAGGATTCCAGAGAATTCCTGGAGAGAGTGGTACAGAGCAATGTGGTTATATCCCATCACTTGCACCAAACCGCCAATTCCCTGCAGTACGGGAGGCCTTTCCCAAATGCTCCCCTTTGTTCATTCTCAACAAGAAGGACCACTGACTGGAGCCACCAGAAATCTAGCCCTTGTGCAGAAGTCACAGGATCTCTCCATCAAGCCTCCTCACCTCCCTGACCTCTGAATGAGGATTAACAAACAAAGTCTGGAGAACACGTAGAAGAAAAGACCAATGAGAATTCATACCTATCTGGGTTCTTATTACAAAATGCTCAGCACCCCTGTACTTCCCCCAGCTCTGAAGTAGTCCTTCTCTTATTAGCATCCATAACTAGTGTGCAAAATGTAAAACACTAAGAGAGCGTATCCACATAGTTTGAGAAAATGGATTTGTTTTTTTACAACCTGACAACTCCCAGCCCCTACAAACCTCCCTCATTAGTTGAAGGTAGTAACAAGGCTCGGAAAGAACAAAGAGAATGTGAATAGAGGAGAAAGTACAGGTGTGAAGGGCTGTCTTCCCAAATCCCAGTCTACTGTGCATTTGGGAGAGAAGAAAAAAAAATGTCTTCCTAATATCTCCTCAGCATAAGCCTTGTTGGAAATGTTTGCTCTGGCAAAAGTGAGATGCCGGAGACATCCAGACAGCATTCCCAGGAACAAAGGATGGGGGTGGAGGGTGGAGGAGAGTGAGAAGAACAGCCCCTCTCTGGAAGAACTGCAAGTTCCCCTGCCTGAACAAGAAATGCATCCTGTCCCCGGGCTCATGGCTGCAGCTTGGAAGCTTCTCCAGAAAGGAGACCTCCCACCCCTCACAGAGATCTGGCTTTCCTTCCCTTCCCACCACATCTGTTTATACAAAGGAGGGCTGCTGGAGAACAAACAGAACCATGTTTACTGGGAGTCCCATCCTAAGCTTGAAGCTTAAGATACAGACTTGCCCTCACCACTGAGGCTGAAGATAAATAGATGGCCCCGGAAAAGGAAAGAGAGAAAGCACTGGGCAGTAGAGAGCTGGTGGAGTGGTTTACTCATAAAAGGCCTCTCCCCAAAGGCCACATAGTAATGGGTAGATTTGTATTTGAATTTCAACACAGTGCCTTGTGTAATACATGAATGTACTTGAGCCTAAAGTAGCTTCAGTGTGGGTATTTAAATATTTTTCTTCAGGAATAGCCCTTATTTTCTGTTTGGGGCCTCCTAACGCAGGGGAAGTTGGGTTAATACTTTTATTTCCAGTGTATGTTTTTCTGTATAGTGTCCATTTGGAGAATATGGTCTTTTGAAGAAAACCAAACCATACTGATGGATATCATGTTTACTAAGTTGTCATGGAAATAAATCTAAATTAATAGTATTTACAAGTAAAATGTAGAACAGTTAATGAGAGCCTTTATAAGGTGATCTTTTTATTATTTTTATTTATCTGGTATATTAAGATGTTGCCATTATCCTCCAGCCCCTAGATACACGTACCAAAACAAGAGCTTAATCCAGTTGTCAAAATTTTAAATCCTTAATAAAAAACAAAAAAAGGTTTGGACTTCCTGGGATTAGAATGCCAAAACTAAAAGGGAGGTGTGTGGGTTTTTTTGTTTTTGTTTTTGTTTTGTTTTGTTTGTAAAGGAGGAAGGGGCTACCTAAATTAAAAATAAAAATAAAAACTGGTGTTTCCTCTGAAGCAGATGAAGCTTCTGTGCATACTAAAGACCTGGCGACTTGAGGGACTCTTCTCCTGGGATAGATGCAGATAACACTCCAGAGAGCTGAATGAAACCCCCCAGCTCTGGAGTCTGGAGAGTCACTGTGGGGAGTTAGCTAAAGGAGGAGCTCTGGGTCAGGGGTATTTTTTTGAGTTAAATGTATGAATGAAAGGGATTGAGAAATGAATCCTACTCAGTCTGGGGCAGGCCTACAAGTGCACTCAGCAAGGGCCCCACTCACGTTCCAACCTGGAATTAAAAGTCTCCAAAACAGACCCAGAAGCAAATCTGTGGCATCCAACTAAGATCTCCTTCTGGATGCAAACTGAGAGAAGAGAAACCTTGCACAGCCTTTATTAATTCATACCTTATTGTGAAGATGTGGATGCAACTCAGGTCATGATTGTGACCGGATGGGAATTTTCATTTTATAATCCCACCGCACTCCTAGAAAAATACGCCTGGCTAAAAGCCAGCTGTGCAAGCGGTCTTGCTGGAAGGTCAGGGGAGCCCCCACCCCATGTCCTGCAGCACTGTTCGTCACTGCACCTTCTCTCCTGTTCCAGCAAGGCTGCAGTCACATCACAGTTTGCTTCTCCTTCCAGAGGCTTCTTGAGTGTTTGTAACTGTATGTAGGGAATGCAGGATAAGCCCTCTAGGCTTTCTGCTTGCAAATTACATGCTAATATGTCGAGCCCCAGGACAGCTTGGGTTTTAATCCACCTAGGAGTTCTAGTGTCTTCAGGCCTTTCCCTCTGCACTGGTATCTCAGAGTGGTTCTAGCTTGGGATCTGAGGTGACTCTTTTTCTATTTTTTTTCATCATTCACCAGGTCCCGAGCAGATGGTGTGGCTGTGCTGGCTGTCATCACTCCTCCTATGTTTCCATGGAAACATGGGGCATAGGGACCATCTCTGCCTTGGGCTCTCTGACAGTATCCTCTGGTAGAGAACTTGAGCACTCTGGCCCCCTCCCCCTTGCCTGCCCACATCCTGGAGAGTTTGAGGAGGACTCGTGGCCCTGGTAGCCAGGGTCATTTCAGAGATCATCTAAGGACATGCTCCCCACAAGTGGTTGTGAACTGGCTGCAAAACGAAGGGGGAGGGGAAGGAGTGCTGATAGCCTAGTTGTGCAGCAGTTGTGTTGCAATGGTGGCATATTTGGATTATCTATCCTCTCAGCCAGATTCTTTCATGCCTGATTATTGCCCAGATGTCAAAAGAGATGCTCCTGAGGTTGCATCTGCTCATCAGGCAAGAGATACTTAATGAGTGTAAGCATGTTACTGGTGTTTTACACTTTACTGACATTCTACCTCCTCCAAGTGCATTCCTTTTTTTTCCTTTGTACAAAACCAGGTTTTCCCTAAGGAATGTACGTACCTTCCTCAAACTTTCCAACATCCTCCTGCCTACATAATTCACTTATATAGCCACTGAGACATTAATTAGATTCAGAAGCCCATGGAAACAGCAGAGTTGGGCAGGGTCAGAGGCCAGGCAGGGCAGAGAAAAGAGCGGGGAAAATGACCCCTTGGGAGAGGGGTAAGGAAGCAGAGGGAAATTTTTCATGCCATTCAAGTACCAAACAAGACAAAGATAATTTCAAAATGTGGTCAACTACCATAACATTGTTTAGAGAATTAAAGTATTGTCCAATTAAAGAGTGCTTTAAAAAAAAAAAAAAAGTTGATTTCGTAGAAGAATTCCATGCATGTGTCTTTGGTGTTAGCTGCTCCTTATATAGCTGGTACAAAAGACTAGTGTGTGAAGCTCACTACATTTTAAAAAAGAAAAGAAACAAAGCAGGCATATCTACTGAAAATGAAAATACTGGCAAGAAAAGGCATAGGCTAGTCATAAAAGTAGATGAGAGAAGTATTCCTTATCACAGATCATGTATTTCGTGCCATGCTGACCTACTTGGGGGATAATCCCATTATTTGTGATTCGAGAATCCCTTGGTGCTGGTAACAAGAACCAACCGTCCTGACTTAAAACTTAATATCCCCACTGGCTCTTTGTCATGCTTCTTCAAGATGTGCACTGGCCATCCGTGCAAGAGTCAAAGACTATTAATCTGTTGAGCACAGGAGACAACTAATCATAATGATAGCAAACATTTCTATATTATAATATTTCCATATTATCAC